ATAGTGATAGCCACATTAAAGATTCTTCTTGCCAGAAATGTTGAATATCATCTGAGATGCTGCTCCTTATAAGCAGATAAAAAGGATTGAAACACCAACTCCTTTCCTTTTAGGGAAAGCTTCAGAAAGAAGTAGGGCTGGTTCCACCCATAGCAATGAGTCTGGCCCTTTTGTGATCAGTCCCAAAACTGGGATTGCAGGACTGAATTGTCCCAGTTTTAGTGTGTAACAGCTGAACCAAATATATGCTAGAATGTTGACTTTCCCCCGAAAATCTCAAGAATTAGCAGTCATTATGAGTGTGCTTTGAGGGTTTCCTCATCTTCTAGAAAATAATCTTCCTGCTCCTAGAACTTCAGAACACCTGCAGAATGAGGCCAATTGATTCTTTAAATAAATACAATAATCTTGCAGGGTCTGCAAAGCAACAGCCCTGACATGCCATGAGTGCTGGAGGCCGCAGAATGTTGTGGTTTGCTAATCAAAATCAGTGCTGAAAACACTGATTAAATAATAATAATAAACTCCCTAGCATTTGAACAGTTGATGTTGTTTATGTAAACAATTAAATTGTTTTGAGCAGTTGTGAAAACATTTCTTTTAATGAAAGTGTCCACTCTTGTGAGACAAAATACACTAGCTTTGAGGTTCTTTTTTTTTTTTTGGAGTATAGTAAAACCTTTCCTGTGTAGACAGGGCTTCAGTCCTGCTTTGCTACGGGAGGCAGATTATATTTTGGAAATAGTGATGGTTTACCATGCTGAGATATACAGCGTGTTCTAAGCCAAAAACCCCCGTTTTGCAAAGCGCAAAGCCTCAAGTGTTTAGGAAGCAGGCTGCAGCCTTAAGCACATGAAATGGTGATATGTGCTGGCTCCTTCCCTCCTCATAAATTCAGCATGCCTTGGAATGTCCCCAGCATTGTGGCCAGCTGTCTTCAGGGCTGTCTGCATCCAGTACATCTGTGCTCTTGGACTCTTCCTTGCAGGACAGGGTGGCTGCAGCAGAGTTCCCAGTGCATGTGGTCCCAGTGGGTGGCAGCTCACAAGCTGGTAATGTTGTAGGAGGGCGTAACTGGCTTCATGCTGGGGAACATCCTATCTGCTTCCTAGGATACAGAATCTTGGTCCATGGCTTGGAAATGTTTCCAGGCAAGATTTACCTTAGAAGTACATATGTTAGTCCTTTATTCTTCCAGAATCTTTATGGACTAAAGCAAACCTACATCTCCTAAGGGATTTAGGACACTTTAGAAAGGTAAGTTTTTAGGAGAGAACACCTCCTATTTTGAAGGGGGACACAAATCCTTCTTGAATCTGTGCCTTCATTTATATGGCATTAGTCACTGCTTAAATATTGTTCAGAATGCAGTTCCCTTTGCAGCCACCAGCTCTCCACGAGTATTGCTTTTGTTTGAGTGAACTCGCTGTGTAGGTGTAGTAAACGCAACCTTTAATGGAAGCCCTGTGGATGGAGAATGGATTTGGGATGTGTGTGTGATTTATAAGAGCTCTAGTTTACTTGGATGGGTGACATGGATCGGGGAGGTCTGGCAGCATGTAGGCAGTTGATCTTCTGTGTGAGCAGAACAGAGAGACCATTAAGTGAACCACAGATCTGTGTTGAGATAACTGTCTTTGAACTACAGGACAATTTCCTGCAGGCTGTGCAGTGTATTTGATTTTTGGACCTAGAATATAGTCCTGGTGTAGATGAGCAATAATTCATCAGTATTAATCCCAGCCCTGGGCAGACATATGTCCCAAAAGAAAGCACTGTAAAATGCAAGGTAATGGAGCAGTTTTACTCTCTAGCTAATCAGTTTTTCTGTACCTTCTTTTCCAACAGCCCTATGTGCTTCCTCACCACCTTCCTTCTCTGTGGTGTCCTGAGTCCTAAGTTACACCTCCATCATACAGTCACTTCAGAGTACTGTTTGTCTTTTTGTAGGTTTTGGACTATGACATCAACTTTGATGGTTCAAATACTTGCATAGAAGCGGTTGATAATATAAAATACTGTTCCTGTTTGGCATACTGTAAGGCTATAGCACTTCTGTAGGTGTTGTGGAGTAACCATGTAGCACAATTTTGAGAAGGTGGAATCTGTATGACAGCATTAGCTTTTGAGCACAGTTTTGTTTAAAGAATCTGTTGCTCCAGGGAGTAAGCTGCTAGAGATACCTGTGTCAATTAAATGCAGCACACTGTGTCTACTCAGTGTTCTTCTAATTGAATGTATGTGATGATTGTCTTACAACCAGTAGTGGTGCAGATTTAAGGACACGGGTGTTACCTGTGGTGTGTCCCACAGGCTGCCTGTAGGTCTTCAGGGCAACAATTCCAGTCTTTGCATGGCTGCTGGCAGCCCACCATGCTGGTAGAGGCACCTTGGGAATAGCAGAGGTGGCAGGCACTGCTGAAGCAGCGATGGTCACTATCCCCTTCCTGCCCCCTGGGATTCTGGAGAGCCATGAATTGTCTTAGAGCATCTCACCGTCCCTGGTTTGGTATTTAATTGAGGTGTGTGACACAGGCAGGAAGGGGAGCAGACCCATTCCCTCCCTTTGTGGCCCACGCTAAAGCTTTAAAGAAGTGTCCATGAAATTGTGGTGGTTATCTGTGCTAGAAGTGCTGTTAAGAACAGCATATCAGCTGGGGTTGGTAACTTAAATGTAAATCTTAAACTTTCTTTTTAAAATCAGGTGTGGGGTGAACTTCTTGTCCTTTTTCTTCTGGTACAACTTTTCAGAGATTGTTAACTTCAAAGGTGAAATAGCAGCCACGCTTCTGGCTTTGTGCTGATTTTAAGATGTTTGTTGCCCAAGTTGTCTGCATTTGAGTCTCATTGTGTGTTACTCATGTAAAATATCATTTCTCAGTGGTCACAGAGCACGTCTTGTGGACTTGAGGTGGGCCCATGCCTCTCAGAACATGCTCATTTATACATTCATGCTGTTTTTGCTCTGCCTCAATCTGCTGCTCCTTTCAACTTGTGCTTGTGTCACTAGAAGTTCCTTTTTTTTGAACTTTTTGTGCTTGTCACTGAACCGGTTTCCAAAAGTTGTCTCTCATTTCCTCTTGCTTGATTTCACAATTAAAGTTTTGTTGTTCTGTAGCTGGGACTTAAGGTAAATCTGTGTAAAACATACATCTTGTATGGAGTAGAAAATAACAAAAATAACACCCATTTCTTAATCAAGGAGAACCCAGAGATTAGTGAGAAGCATCACTGCAATATGCTTCTCTTCGGAGCCCAGGTTTTGCTGTACTGAGAAAAGCAGTAAATGAGAGTATACATGGAGACTGCGATGGCTGAGTGGTGGCACCTTGGAGCTAGGCTGTGATAGTTCAGTTCCAGATGCACATGGCCTGTGATTGTAATTGTAGGGCAGCTTACATTGAAAAACAAACAAAAACAAAAAAGAAACCAACCCAGAAATGACTCTTGAAAAGAGAATTTTGGTATGAGCTAGGCTGAGGAAGTTTTGCCTGTTTTAAGAAGCATTGCAGCTGTATCAACTACCTAAAGTCAGAATTTGTTCACCCTTTAAAAACATGATCATTTATTTTGAATCATGCGTTCCATTTTGATAGCCTCCTTCATATAGAAAATATAGCATGCGACGTCCATCCAAGTGCAAGCCTACCAGTGCTCTATCTTCTATGTGGAAGGAAGTACTCTGTACATTTCTCCATGTTTGACATCATGGTGTTTTGAATAACCACGTTCCATATTCATACCAATTTTTTGTTTTTGTTTTCAATTTATGCACAGCACTTGCTCTGAAATTTGGGGACTGAGTACACCAAACACGATAGATCAGTGGGACACAACAGGCCTTTACAGCTTCTCTGAACAAACCAGGTGAATATTCTGCCCTCTCTCCATCATAGAATCTTGTGGGAGGGATTGGCTTTGGAGGGTCTGTCATGGGATGCTTTAGCTGTAAAATAGACTGAATGCTTCTTAGGCCTCTCACGATACAGCATTTTAAAGACATTTGCTTGCCAGTGTAGCAATCCAAGTATTCTCAGCTGATGTTTTGACCAATGAAATCCTATATGTGGAATATTCATTTTTCACGCCAGTTGAAAGAATGGGAAGACTTGTTAATGCAAGCTCTGATGGGATTTGGTATTTCTATTAACAACGTTGGACTACTTAATTCTTTAGACCTAATCTTACAAAGTGTTTAAACTGCTTTGTATGCCATGAGCTTTCAGTTAAATCTCACTAATTGGCTCTGATACGAGCTGCTAAAGAACTGCTTGTCAATTCTTCAGTAGTTAACAGCGGGCAAATTCTGAGCAGGGTCTTTATTTTTTCATATCACATTGCTTGATTTGTGTACTGAGGTTTGTCTCCCATCCCATAACAATCATAAACATCTGCATTTGTGTAAGCATATGCAGTCTGTCTTAAAACTAGCAAAACATTTTCAGCTGGTAGCAAGGCAGAGGAAGGCAAGAAGATAAAATATATAGCCCCTGTGAGATGTGTGTTCTCACTTGTTGCATCACAGTCACACCGCCATGTGGATCCCTTGGGCAGCTGACTGCTTAGAGACTGGCTTGCAGTACCCAGGGAATTGTTAAGCTCAAAACCATAAAGCATCCATGCCATGCAAAGCCTTGAGGTTTAGAAACTGAAGGGACTGTTAAGAGTGTGATTTTTCTTTCAACAACTGTCTTCTGCATTTAAAAAATGTGTATGAAGCGATCATCCCAAATACTTGGCTGGAGGTAAAGTGGCTTTTAATTACCCCTAAATTCACTGGCAATAATTTGAGCAGCTCAGAGATGAGTTAACGTTGCTTGATGCCATCACTTTTCTCCCATTTGAAGCATTTTAACAAGAGTACACATGTCACTAGCAGTGTCAATCCGCTGAATTCTGAAAATGAGCAAACTGCCCTTCCCGCGTGTGTACGCTGTTGACTGAATGATTATGAGACAGCGTGCAGCCTGTAAATACCTCTCAACATCTTTCCCTTGTAGATCTCTGGATGGCCGACTACAGGTGTCGCATCGTAAAGGGCTTCCGCATGTTATCTACTGCCGTCTGTGGCGCTGGCCGGACCTCCACAGCCACCATGAACTTAAAGCAATTGAAAACTGTGAATACGCTTTTAATCTTAAGAAGGATGAAGTGTGTGTTAACCCATACCACTACCAGAGAGTGGAGACACCAGGTAGGAAGACAAGACTGCATCTAGTTTTATAGCGCCGTCTGTGTGTATGTGAGGGATGTGGTTTAGTGTAGGGGTGAGCTGGGGCTGGACTTGTTGATCTTGGAGGTCTCTTCCAGCCTTTGTGATTCTGTGAGTGGGCATTTTGGTGATGGGTTGATGGTTGAACTGGATGATTTTAGTGGTCTTTTTCAACCTAAATGATTCTGTGATTCTGCGTACGTGTTCAGCATGATGTTTCAAATGAAAAGTAGAGAAGGATGGTGTGTTCTTGTGCCAGGACTGCAAGATGATTAAAGATAAATGTTTGGAGAATACAATCTGCTTAAAGTTTTTAATAGGAAAGGTACTGAAAAGTCTTTATCAATGTGTTGAATGCCCTGATAAGTGTTTACTGTAGTGCTAGCAATTTCCAGCTGGCTAAGGATGGTCCAGCATGAAAATGAGAATAGAAAATGAGAATAATTCACTAAGTCATGTTCAAGAAGAATTTGCTTGTTCTAGTAATTGTTTTAGTAATTGAAGTATTAGAAGTACTGAAACACACCTGAAGAAATTGTTACATGGCTTAGATTTGTTTTTCGTTTCACTTCATAGAAGTGTGAGTTTGACTTTTTCTTTTCCAGTCTTGCCTCCTGTACTAGTGCCACGGCACACTGAGATCCTGACAGAGCTTCCTCCTCTTGATGACTACACCCATTCCATTCCTGAGAACACTAATTTCCCAGCTGGAATTGAACCACAGAGCAATTACATACCAGGTATTTTCTTACCTCCCAACATGAAACCCTATGCTTAACGTTGCATCTTCCTCCGAAGTGATCAAATGAGGTGAAGGATGTACCAATAAATTAAATCTTGCTGATTTCCTTTATTAATTCCAGTGGAACTCCTGAAAATGAAACAGTGACTTAAATTTTTTTTATTTGTAGCTCATAATCTATAGAAGTCTGCTTTGTATATTTGTTACTACAGTACGTACAGTTTTGCTGTTAGTATTCAGTGTAAGAGTATTGAATTAATAAAGGATTCTTCCTCCTTCTCCTTGCTTCTTCCCACCCCACAACAAAAAAAGTCAAAGCTGAACTGCCGCAGTGCACAGATAAGCCTCTATTCTTGTTGAAATATGAAAAGTGTGACTTTTTTTCCTATCCCAATTTCCTGTGTCATGGAATGGCTTGGGTTTGAATGGACCTCAAAGATCATCTAGTTCCAACCCCTGTGTCGCGGATAGGGTTGCTCACTGCTAGGTCAAGCACTGGATTAGGCTGTCCAGGGCCCCACGCAGTCCGGCTTTCCTGGAATGGGGTATCCAAAGCCTTTTTGGGCAGTCTGTGCCAGTGCCTCAATGCCTCAACAAGTCCAGGTAGATAATGTCAGTTTTCTGTTTGTCCACCAATGCTGTTACTCCATCACAGAAGGCCACCAAATGGGTTAGGCATGATTTGCTGTTGGTGAAGTTGTGCTGGCTGTCTAGGATCACCTGTTCATCCCTCATGTGCCTTAACGTGTCTTCCAGGAGGATCTGCTCCATGATCTTCCCAGGCACAGAAGTGAAGCTCACTGGCCTGTAGTTCCCCTAGTTTCCTGCTACTTCAGGAAATTTCTGGGAAGATAAAACTGAGCCAAGCTGCCATTTTTTCACAAGTGTTTAAGGCAATTATGATTCAGCATCCCAGTACTGAAATAAGCTGATAATTCAGATCCTGACACGAGAGGATAAACTCAAATGTGTGATGTACACATTTTATCTGCATGTTTAATGCAGGATGTTACGTGTTTCCTGTAAATCTATCTGAAAGCTGAAATAGATCCAAGAAAATGTCAATGAATTTGATCCCCTTTGTTAAATCAATGCCAAATTTCTTGCCCCGTAAAGATGTTGGAATTGGATGATCTTAAAGATCTCTTCTAACCTAAGCCATTCTAAGATTATGTGACAAGATTTTTAAAGGGCTATTCAAGGTGCAGTAACTCAGTGTTGCTTTCTTGATTTATGTACGCTTTTTTGACTCAGTCTGAGGGCTTTTGATGGTATTTGTGGACAGCTTACTGCAAAAACACCGTTTGGAAATCCAGGAAATGAGCTCAGGGAACTATAGGTAACTGTTTGCAAGAAGCCTGCTCAAGGTGATTGCAGGTACTCATGTGATACTCACTTCTTTATGCAGCTCACCACACCTCACCTCCTTCTCTTTGTCACAGACACTGCTCTTGTATTCAAGAATCATATCTGAATCTCACTTTGTTTGATGTTGATAGCTAACCTTTGCTGCTTAGCTAGGTTCTGATATGCCTGGTTTGGAGAACTGTTTTCTGTAGCAGAAGGCCAGACTAAAACTATTGGTCTACAAGGAGGTCATTACTCATGTGTACTTCATGTGCTTTTTCTGGGCAGGTGGTGACTGTGGAGATGTAGGATAGCCTTCATGACCCTTCCAGTTTGAGCTACAGTGTCCAGACTTCTGGCGAGGATTTTTTAATTTATTTCCAGCTGTGTTGTTTCTCACCTCTGACCCTAAAATTGTATTAAAGGTGGAGGGAGGCTGTGTTCAGACTGAGTGGATATAGAACATAACCTGTGCCAAAAAGCTCAAATTAAGAGCTGAAAGCTGGAAGTGTGGGTTGGATTGGAAATTATTATTGACCTTAACCACATCTGTGGGCTTAAATATTAACAGAAAATGAAGAGATGGGTGCAGTCCTGTTTATCACGATGAGTTCTATAGAAATGTTCAAAACAAGTGTGATTTTTGTCATCACTGTTCTTGCTAGTAAAGATTTCCCTCGATTTTCCTTTTAAATTCTCACTTGAATTTTATCACATCTATATTTAGAGTGAACTACAAATGTAGCTCTTTTGGTTCAGTTTTATTTAATCTGGTGATTTAATCAAGTTTCCTCTTGCTGACTTTCTTCTGTTATTACTCTTCTCCTATAAATCTCTGACACGACAGTAGATAAGTTTTATTTTAATTCTGAAGCAGAACTCTTTATCTTTGTTATTACTGTTTGGTAATAAGTAATTAAATGTCTCAGAAACATCAAAGAGTTTAAACATTTCTGAGGTGATTGTAGAGATCAGTTAGCATTTACTGCTTCCACTAAAGAAATTCCAATTTTATTTTCGGTAAATAGGAAAAGACTCATGCCCAGTTCAAAGCAAATTATTTCTTGAAAGGCAGTTGGTTAGCACATTATCTGAATTACAAATTAATTTTGAATGCAGGGAAGGAACAATCACAAACACATCCTGAGTTTTAAAGATATTTCTGTGAAAATTGACATTTTTTAGTATCAAAATGCTTTATGCTTGTTATTGAGTTTACTTTGGTTGGTGATACTCCCATTTTTAATAAAAGCTATTGATGAGGATTGATGTTTTTTTTTTCAATACAACTTGGCATTTGCCATAATAAAGAGAGCTTGTGCATCATAACTGATTAGATAATACTCTTATTGTTAATGTGTGAAAGCAACTTTTAGGTGCTGAAGAAAAATGGATATGGGGACCAAGCTGGAAAATAACCTTTAAATCTAAAAACTTGTAAGGCGTAGGAGGGTGTCTGATCTGATGGTTATACTGCATGAAGACAGCTCCTATTTTTTTTGTAGAAGTCACCAGATGGTTTTTTCATTTGTAATTCTACTAAATGTGAAAGCTGCTAATCACAATTGCAAAATTATTACTCATTGTAGTGGAAGTATGTTGTATTGCCTGGAAAAAACAGGGGTTATCCATTAATTATGTAACATGTTGGAGCAACTGATGGGCACACAGGGATGATGCATTTTACGTAGACAATTGGGCAGGTAACGGGTTTGAGTTCTTACTGGAAGGAAGGAAATCCAGCAGAATGAAATTCCAGTTCGGTGTTCAGGTATCACACAGAGCGTACAGGGAGTTGACGACTAATCCCCAAATAGTACATCTTGCAAGTTTCTCATTCGGTTAAACTATAAATGAATATATATTTATTTTATTTTATTTTTACAGAAACACCACCTCCAGGATATATCAGCGAAGATGGAGAAACAAGTGACCAGCAGTTGAACCAAAGCATGGATACAGGTAACGTTTCATTTTTCACCACTGTGAAGACTTGGAATTGCTTGTTGTGATCCATTTACACGTAATAGCATGTCTTCAGCCCAAGTCATGACAGCAACAGCCTTCTCTACAACCTGTTGTGTTTCAAATTAATTCTTGTTAGGAAGGCTATATTGAAACTCCTTCTTAGTGGAGAAGCGCATAAATAAATAAATGTTCACAGACTGTGCATGAAGAGAGCTCTGCCAAATGCCCCGCTGAGATGTTAATAGGCTCTTTATGAGGAGGGCTAGGTTCCCAGGAGTCTGGAAAATGAAATGTAATCTGAATTCTGAATAAAGATGGGACATGCTGGAAATCTGGTTACAGGTTTTCTGAGGGCTTTAAGTCCTAAGAACTCAAAGAGAAAGCTGGTCCCTAAATAAGTCATACCTATCTGCCTGAAATAAGAATATTTTGCTCTGAACCAATCTGTGTTGTTCCAACAGGATCTCCAGCAGAGCTGTCTCCCAGTACTCTCTCTCCAGTCAACCATAGCCTGGGTAAGCTGGAAACACTTTCGTATGTTTGAGTGTGTGTGATGGCTCCACTTCATGTATACAAGTGCACACTAAAAATAAAGATATAATTTAGGAAAGTGAAAGTTTTGGTAGGAGACTATTGGGTTGATCCATGTAGCTGGGTTAATAGCTAATTAATAAATACCCTCTTTCTGCAGCTGAATCTCTAGCAAAGAGAGCAAAACCTGTGAGTGGTTCAGTTTAATTTTTTTAATTTTACTAAAGTGTTTTCAAGTTACAGAAAGGCAATAGAAATATCTCCCAGAAATATCTCTGCTGTCTGAATTCACAGTAACAGTGGCCTAATCATTGTGCTAAGCAAAGTGCAAATGCTAGAATACATGAGCTGTGCTCATTTTAGATCATCTCTTCTTCTCTTCCCACTCTCTTCCTTTGTGTGAAATACTGAATTCCATTCTTTTTATTGGAGTAGCTAAAAACGACAGCAAGCAGAATTGTAATTTGTGTAGCTTGAAGAGACTGTCATTTCTGAAATAGAAGAACAGCAAAGCAGGTAGATTTCTTTTCAGGCTCAAATTCTGTGCTAGTTTTATTTCTTTCTTAATTTTTTAGACTTGCAGCCAGTCACTTACTCGGAGCCCGCATTCTGGTGTTCAATAGCATATTATGAATTGAATCAAAGAGTGGGAGAAACCTTCCATGCATCACAGCCGTCTCTGACTGTAGATGGCTTCACAGATCCATCCAATTCCGAACGGTTTTGTCTAGGTCTGCTTTCCAACGTCAACAGAAACGCAACAGTGGAAATGACAAGGCGGCACATAGGTAAAGATCTGATCTTTTTCCTCTCTTAATGCTCCAGACTCAGATTTCTCTTTCTCAAGGCTTAATTACAAAATGATCAGTATTTTCTCTTTAATAATTAAGGAATATTGTTTTCCACATTGCAACATCTTCTTCCAGAAATTATATATATATATTTTTAGATTATTTTATTTAGCAGTAGTCACTATTTTTAATTTTTTTTTCTTGCTGCTACATCTTGAGTAGAACCTGATTTCCTCCACTTCAAATGCAAATGCTTGGGTAATAAAATTCTAGGTTTGAAGAAGCCCAGGATGTGTCTTTAATGAGTGATGAAAGTGGTCAGTTGTGAGGAAAAGCAAACATGTCAGGGGTTCTCTCTTTTTTTAGAGAGTAACCGATGGTTTGTTGGAAAAATGGTTATAAAGGAAAAAAGGGGAGTAGGCATTATGGCCTTTAAAAGACCTGTTAATTATAAACAGCTTTTGGAGGGAAAATCAATTGTACATTCCTTCTTACAGAAATAACCCATGCAGATTTTTTTCACTCTGAGACAGATCAAGATCACAATTCAAAAATTACTTAGTTTTTTCCCATCATCTTGCCTGCACAAGACACTTCACATACAATACTTCATGTTGGCACGCTTTATTTACACTGAATGTAATCTTTTTATTTCAACTGTGATATTTCTGTAAGTGAAAAAGTTCTTGTTTGGTTGTAGACCATTACCTGGATAGAAAATCCAGTTCATGTTATACTAAAAATTATTCTGCTTTTACTTCAAAATACTGTGTGATATAAAAGCAAGTTAATGCTGTTCTGCTACAGCTGTCAGCCCAGCAGTATGCTTAACCAGATAATTGATTTCTGTTTTTGTTGTAAAGAGAAAACTTGGCCTCCTCTGAAACAAAATATTCCCTTGTTTGTTAATGTGCCTGGGTCATATCACAACGAGAGTTCCTTTGAATTCTGTTCCAGGGAGGGGAGTGCGTCTCTATTACATCGGCGGAGAAGTCTTTGCTGAGTGTCTCAGTGATAGCGCAATTTTTGTTCAGAGCCCCAACTGTAATCAAAGATATGGCTGGCATCCTGCAACTGTCTGCAAAATCCCACCAGGTCAGTTGCCTACCAAAGGCTTCCTACAAAAAAAAGTCTAGTGAATGGATTCACAGGATGTTGTTTGCTTTCCTTTTGATACTTAAAAAAGGTTTCTTCAGGGTTTTGGTCTTTGGTGTAGTGAAAACAAGTATTTAAGTGTATCTTTTTGATCTTTTCTTTGTAGGATGCAATCTAAAAATCTTTAATAACCAAGAGTTTGCTGCTCTTCTGGCTCAGTCTGTGAATCAGGGTTTTGAAGCAGTTTATCAGCTTACCAGAATGTGTACCATCAGGATGAGTTTTGTTAAAGGATGGGGAGCTGAGTACAGGTAAAAAAAAAAAAAAAAAAAAACACTTTTCAATTTAGAGTTAACAATTTTTTCTTTCTCTAATACTTTTTTTTGCATCTGAATTGAAGTCTGTCCATATACTACTGCAGCTGTGCTGTCTATAAGTTGAACTCATATTTTTTTTTCCCTCTGTCAACTATAGAACTCCTCAGTCAAAAAGACCAGTAAACTGATTTTCATATTTCACTCAAGTTCATTGAGCAAGGAATTTCATCAAAGTTCCCTTCATCCTGCTTGCTGGCTTACTGAAACCACTGACAACATCTTGAAGTTTCAGAACTTGTTTTACAATTGCTTTTAGACCTACCATCTCTGTGCAGTTTGGTGTGGAGTAAAATGAGTTTATTAGGTTGTAGAATGGGATGCAGTTGAGGAGATCCAAAAGAAAGTGTTAGAGTGACTCAGATTGCAGCAGCTGGAGAACAGGCTTTCAAGTGATGGCAAATGCACTGGGACTTGTAGTGGAAAACTTTGAAGGAGTAAGCTTTGTGTTTTTGTAGTAAAATTGCTAAAAATGGTTGAGTGGAAAAAAAGTCTTTTATCTGTTCTTTATGAATACAGTCCAGTTATATTATCCATTAGGACAAACTAAAAACCATTTAGGATGGTGCCTCTTTATGACATAGGATGGCAATTTGGGAAGAGGAGGAAGCAACTTCTAACTGAGCAGCTTGAAATATTTCATTATTTTGGAGAGCTACAGGTGTGGTTTTAAACAACTCTAACAAAAAATCCCTTAAACATACTTAAAAATTGTTTACTGAAAGAAGTCTGACATGTCAGTACCCTACTGCAATACAGAACATAAAAAAAGTCCTCATAATTTCTGAAGTTAAACAATGCCAGGTTGCACTGTAGATCCTGGGGTTTTTATTCTTTTCTTGCAATATATCCACGTAAATGTGAGCTGTCAGCATGTGGGGGAGGATTTGCAGCTAAATGAAGCCAATTTTGTAAAAGCCTAATTAGATGGAATGAAAAATTTGAGTAATGGAATAAATTGGTACCTCTTTGTTAGCAAGAGGTACGCAAGGAAAAATCTGGCTCCAGTTTAAAGAACAGTTGGATTTAGCTCTAAAGGAGAATGCATACATTCACACATAATTAAATAAAACATTCAAATCAGAGTAGAAGAAAGGCTCAGTCAGTCAGATTGTATGAGGACAGCTTGAAGTGAATGGAGTTATGTCTTGGGTTAAAGCAGTGAGGAGGCCTTGGGTGAAGTTTTTTTTTACTAAGGAGAGAGAGTGTTGATTGTTTGTAGTCTATAAACCCTTCAGAGGTCTTAGGGTTAAAAAAGCTTCAGAGGAAATCCTGCTCAAACAGCACGGAATCTGATTGCTGAAGGAATACTAAATGAGTTTCTGTGCATCTCTGTAAAAGTTAGTGCTGTTCTTCTAAAGAACGTTAGTTAGAGGTAATTACAGCAAAGATTCAGGTGGGAAATCCATGGGTAGAAGAAACCAAGTTTCAGCTTTGAGATGGCTGCAAAGTGACTCTCACTATTTCATCTTTTGCCAGGGCTGTTGAACAGACCCAGTTATAACATATTAAGGAAGTGTATTGTGGAACACATTGTAGGGGAGTTGACAGCGGTGGAATAATGAACTTCCTTCTTTGGGAGAGGATTCAAGACAAAATGGAATTACATTTCCTGTGGTTTAGATTGTTCTTTTATTGGATCACTTTGTTTTGGCATAGATGCTCAGGGCTGAGATAACAATGTTTTTTAGAGTGTTGAGAGAGCACAGACCCCAGCTGCTTTCTTCTAGAAAATATAAAACTACAGACAGCTTTTGAAATCCATCTTCTCACTGGCTTGATTTTTCTGCCTTTTCAGTTCCTCTGCTTATATAAACATATTTCCTTCAAGCAAAGGGTTCCAGTGCCGACTGTAAAAATGAAGGGGCTGGAATTCTGTCTGGCTAATCTGCTGTCTTTGAATCTTAATGCTTCCTCACTTTGCTTTGAGAATAACTAGAATTACTGGGAAAAACTGGCTTAGCAACAGTAGTCTTGCCATTCTTGTTTGAGAAAACTCCTATGCCTCGAGTGGGTGCAGGGAAATAACAGGAGTTCTCAGGCAGAGTAGATCCAATACTGATTTCTTTACTTTGGAGATGAAAAGGATGAAAGGATGATGTTTGAATAACAGGTCTCTGAAACAAGGGTGGATGGGAAAGTGAATGGAACTTCTATGGCTGTCAAGCTTTCAACTTCACTGAGGTGTTCGAAACGGTGTTTAATTAACAGCTTCTGTTGTGGGAAAATAAGGCAAGTTGATATAAGAGACAAGAGAAACACATTTTTTTGAGCTGTTTGCGTGAGGATGTACAAAACGCATGTAGAGGTAGAAGTAAGACGACAGGAAATCAGAGATAAAGTTGAGTGTTCCTTTTGAGATAACATCAGTGCAGTATAACCACACACTCTGTTACAGTGTAGTGTTTCTGACAACATCTACCATGGTTTCCTTGTACATCTCTCTTGACAATTGCTCTAAAAATGTAGATCTTATGATTACCATAGCACTCTGCTGCTAGACCATCCCACCTGTGTAGAGTGTTTCTGTTTCTTATTTCTTTTAGCAGTCAATTACATTCAAACATAGTTATTATAATAATATAAACAATTACATTATTATGTAATAATAAGTTATAATTATGCATGCAGACTCTTTGAAGGCAGAGATATTAGCTGTATACAGCTGTCTGTGACATCAGCACCAGAGTGGATGCACAGTATTCAGTTTGACTTTCTTTTGAAGAATAAGGCATTTGGTATGGTGCTCGTAACATTTGCTTCAGTTCTTATTTTATTCTTCAGAGCAGAATATCACAGTCATTTAAGTTGGAAAAGACCACTAAAATCATCAGCTGGCAACCCATCACCACCATGCCCACTAATAATGTCCTAAAGTGCCACATCTCCATGGTTCTTGAATACTTCCAGGGGCAGTGACTCCACCACTTCCCTGGGCAGCCTGTTTGAATACTTCTTGATGGTGTTATCGTTGTTTCTTGTAGATGTGGGGTGGCTGTTTTTTCTACAGACTGAAGAGCTGTTGGTACATTTGTCATAATGGTTGCAAATTTTAATCTTTGCGTAGCAGGAATAGATGAACCACACCGTATGGAGGGATTGTGTAATGGAGAACCTCATGGTTTGAAAAACTACTTTCTGACTTTCCTCTTCCACCTAATTTTTCAGGCGGCAGACTGTTACAAGCACTCCTTGCTGGATTGAACTCCATCTGAACGGACCTCTACAGTGGCTGGACAAAGTATTGACTCAGATGGGCTCCCCTTCAGTACGCTGCTCCAGCATGTCGTAAAACTCCTTCCTCTGCTACCAGTGGGCTGAATACTAAGACCTATCAACAGACTTCATAGAAAAGCTCGTCTATCGTAGTATTTGTGTGTGGTCCTCATGAACTCTTTACTATCCAAAAAAAAGCTTCTTTTTTTTTAATGAAAAACAGCACTTGAGGTCTCATCAATTAAAGCACCTTGTGGATTCTGTTTCCTATACTCTGATACTAGATGAAAACTTAGTATATAGAAATGCCTTCTTCAGAGAGAAGGAGGAACAGCTCTAAAGATTCTTAATGGTGTTTTTATTGGGTATATAATTGAGTGTCCTAATGGTTTATCAATAACATGAATAGCTAAGTATATGTAAGGGCAATGTATCATGATCTCTGATATCACAGTATTGTGCTGTTCTACATTTTAGTTCCCATAGTTAGACGTTTGGTTTGTTTTTAGATTGAGGCAAATCTCTCAAAATATCAAGACTTGACTCCTATCTTCTTTTATATTTTTTATATAAGTAGGTTTTCAAGTTGTCCTAAACATAAAAAGCAGACTTTACTAGTATAAAAGCTTAACTTTTTTGCTGCCTTCTTAAAGATAAAGAAAATCCCTCCCCTGGAAGGGAAATAAATGTCTGAGATTTATCTGAAATCTCAAGACAACTTATGTATTCTTAATGGGGCCTAAAATGAATCTCTGTACTCTATATGCTGAGTATCCATCACACTAGGAGTCTACTTTTCCCTACCCATATGAGCTGATGCATCTGTTGCCAGTAGTATTGCTGGCACTGTGTTTTTTGGGATTTTTTTTTTTTTGTACCTTGGATCACTGAAGTCAGTGCTTTTCTCATAGAGTGAGAATTGACCATAGCGTTGGATACTGGATTAAATACAGAAGTGACTTACCCCTTACGTCTGTATGCTTTCAATAAACAGATGCTACTAAAAATCTTGGGTGTTTTTTTTTTGAGCCAAACACCTTGGAAAATCCTTTCCCAGGGTAAACTAGACTCTTTCTTATAGGTTTTAAATAGATGCAGCTTCTTAACATGTTTCAGTAACAGAATTTAAATCTCTGATCTGAGTAGCTTTGTACAGCTTATTGACATACCAGGTCATACTCATTCATTATGTCATAATGGGCCTTGTTATTAAAAGTAGTTGCTTCTGCAAAACCTTTAGGATAGTGGTTGCTGAGGTATGACCAGCGAAGGAGGGTTTCTAGGTTCTTCACAACTGTGCATGTTATTGTGAACCCTTGGACACTACAACTGCACCATATTAAAAATATTCTGAAATATATTCTTCAGATAAGTCTGGGTTGGGTAAGGGTTGGGAAACTGTATAGAAGGGTTATTCTGACTTGAAAAATGTACATCTTACTAACAATCTTGTGATCTAGCTGTCTGTCATTCTTATGTTATTGTGGCAGTAGCAGGATTGCTTTTGTCCTTTCCCATGGTTTCACGCATTACACTAGCACTGTACTTTGTAAGTGCGGCTAGTGATAACTTGGAGAACAAAAACGTGGCCAGTGTTACAGCTTTTAATCAGTTGACTGAATTGAGGATAGTCATGGATAATTTTATGCCGTAATGACTAGGACATAGAAGCAATACCAAAATATCAAGCTTCGGAAAAGAGGGCCAACCACCTTTTAAAAATTGACAAAGCAGTTACCAGTTTGTGCTAGTTTTACCAGTAGACTAATGTATTGGTAGAACTTGTGAACCTAAGAAATAAGCTTCATGAGTGTTGCATTTGCCTAATATGTGAATACACTAATAAAAGTTTTAATTCTCATGTTGGCTCCTTTTTCATTATTTACTGTATGTCTTCTTGTGAAGAGTGGGAGTGATTCTAACCAACCCAAAGAAATGCCACGAATTTCCTGCATGTTGTGGCTAGGAAGTTTGGATTGTAAAACCACTTCTTGGACAGCTATAGTGAGGATTCTGGATGTGTGTTTTCAACAGTAGACTTCTACTTCAGATCAAGTTCATTAAAGCAGTTGCTTTTTTCCTGCCGCAGACATATTTCATCCTGCTGGCACAGGTGTTTACTTTCACCTGTGAAACAGATAAGGCTGACTTGTCTGGGTGAAAGACATTATTCCATGTATGAGCAGGTTGAGACTTGAACCAAGTGGATGGGCTAATTCTGTAGTCTCCTTCCTCTGGATTCCTGTGTGTGTTCTCTCAAACAGCTGTGGCAATATTCCTTTTTTTGCTGTGGCCATAGGAATAGCTTTGGCTACAGCCTTCTCTGGTATGCCTTTTCAACTTGTGTACAAGGATGTGTACAAGGATGCGTGGTGCTGCTTGCAGACAAGGCCATCTAACTCTGTAGAAATCAATTTATTTTTCTCCCATCAGTATCACTGAAGTACTCTCCTCCTGTGTTTCTGCCACATCTTGATGGAACAAGGGAAGTAATCTTCATTGAAATGTTTCATTTTGTTTGAATCACACAATGGCCAAGGTTGGAACCCCCCTGCCATGTGCAGGGCCACCAGCTCCCCATTCAATACCTGCCCAGGGCCCCATCCAACCTGGCCTTGAACACCTCCAGGTATGGACGGGGCATCCACAGCCTCTCTGGGCAGCTGTTCCAGCACCTCACCACTCTCTCTGTAAAGAACTTGCAGTTTGCCCATAGTTTAAGTGCCTTTGGAAGCCCTGGGGTAACTTGAACATACTCTTGTTTCTCAACCCCATGCCCTTCTGGCTTAATCCCACCACTATTCTGCTCAAGCACCTCGCTGCAGAGTGTGTATGGTGTGTAAGGAACGTGATTGCAGCTCTCTTCTGCTGGGCAAAGTCATTACCTCAAAAGTACAAATGAAAACATGAGTTGTT